TTAAGTAGTATGGCAGGGGTTGATAAGCCGGAAACTGTATCCGGTTTTAGTATTCCGGTTGCATACAGTATATAGGTACCTATACCTAGAAATTTCGTACGTGGTCGTTTTATACATTTAAATATTCTTATAAAATAATTTATGAGATTTAATAGGTACCACTTTTTGATCAGATTCTTTCAACCCTTACTATTTAGAATTTATTTATATTTTCAAAATTGGGAAAAAATAATTAGAAAAATGAAATACTAATATACCTAATAGACAGGTGTAGTCTTCAAGCAGAAATATGTTGTTTTGTTTGCTTCAGACCCCAATAAATTCAATGATAATTGCATTTTTCCTTATTTATTAAAAAAAGAAAAATTTCCTGTTTGTCATTACCTACTGCTTTGACCTCACAAAATAAATTACGGTACAAGCATGTTACAAAGTTTTAAATTACTAATTGGTTTTGGATTTTAACTCTTATTACATTACACTTAATATAGACACTACATCAACATAAATAATTGTATTCATGCTTGGTTGCGGTTTTTATCTGTAGCTAAAGCAAAAAAAAATCGCTATACTACGGTAAAGTGTTTACAACATTAATACTCTGCTCCTTATATCTAATGAATTATTTACTATGAACCAAATAAAGTAAAAAGATAATCAATGAAATTCATTCATATAAATAGGTCCTTGACATTCGACATCCTGACTTTTGTACAAATCAGCAACACTAATATGCATAAATATCAGGTACTTTCAATATAAATACAGAATTTCATACCTACTAAATAAATGAAAGTGATACGTATAAAATTGTAAAATAATTTATAAGTGCATACATGAAAATGCACAAGGACTATTCAAAATAGGAATTAATTTTAATTAAAAGATAAATACATAACTTATTAAAGTTAGATAGGTAGGTACTTTTAATTATTAATAAACTTCTATATTTTGATAAAACTGATAAATAATAAGATTTAAATACTATTCTTTTTCAGAATTATAAATATATGTAAAATTATTCAAGTAATTAGAGCTTTTGCATTGTAGTTAATTATAACATTATTATTATTTATGTGTAATCGCTAATTGAACAATTTACTGCGTAACCTTTTTTGTTTCCATGAACTTGTTTTAACTACAATTTATAACAGAATTTGTAAAAATAGCAGTAATTATTCTCAACGTAAATATTAACATTCATATGTAAGCAAATGAATGAATTCCATTGATAGTTTCCCATTGAATAACTTCCATGTCAAAATTAAAGGGTGGTAAATGAAATAATAAACACTACAACAATAAAAACACTGCAATTGTTTCATTATTACGTTTATCTTCAATTAGGAACAATTGCTATTTGCATTTTTGGTCAAAATATATCTTTTTAAAAAAATGGAGGCCGACTTAACAACTTCGATTTACACCATTATTTTATTGCAACAAAAGTACTTACTCCTCATTTGCCTCGGTCATGGTTTGAATTTAAGAATATCCTACACTTCTTCATCCATTTCTTGCTTAACAACCACATTTTTATACAACATCAAACCCAACAACTTCTCTGCACGGGGACAATCATTGAACTGAATTGTTTAGTTCTTGTCAATCGAGGCAGGCGGCGCTTGCGTTAAGCGCTCTTCGCGGCAAGTGAATGAATCAAATAACCCGCGAAATTTATTGATTTACTTACATTTTAAACTAGGTAAGTGCAATACAGGTCTGTACTATGTATTAATTATTCCCACGATACATTTACGCTAATTTTTAAATTAATTGTTTTACGAATTAAGCTATTGTACTGTTCACCTTTTGATTTCCATTTTCAAAAATAAATCAAATAAATAACACAATTCTTACTAATATTTATTTTATNATAGTGATAGATGCTATAAATAAATAAGATAAATAAAATGAGAAATTGAATCACTTTATATTTATAGTAATACTTACATTTTTCTTCATTTTCATCTAATAAGTTTGTATATTTCTGTCTTAAATGTCTCACTTTTGCACTCTTTTTGTCTCGCTCTTGCAGCAATAGTTTAGTTCGAAACTTTTTTACTTCAATATCTTTCTCTAAAGTGCATAATATGCACTACTACACTTCACCTTTTATTATACCTCCATATTAATAGTATGCATAATTATTCGAAATTAATACTTTTTCCTGTACACATAATAAAGTATCCGGTTTTTTATTTTTGATGTGTATTTTAAAAAATGGAAATTTTCTTAAATACATTTTTACCAATGTACAATACATTACAATTACACAATTGCCAATAAAAAATAAAAAGAGAAATGATAAAACAGTCATAAAAAAGTTACCTCTCTACTTTTTAATTATTTATGCAAACACTGTCAACATTACACGTAAATAACTTGTCTAAAGAGAAATAAAAGTTTTTGAACATTTAATTTTAGGGTTCAATAAGTGGTAGAGTAGAAAGATATATAAGAAATGGGAAGCGATAGCAAATTTTACTTTATAAAGACTTTATACGAGAAATAAACGGGCAAAGTAATTCAATAGTTTTAAGAAAGCAATATGAGCCAGACTAAGATGCGACAATACAGAAAGGGTTTTTAAAGAAACGTAATGGATGACTTTGTAGATCACGTGAAGCAAGAGAAGAAACACTGGTCCACTTGCTATGCAATAGAAATGCAAAACTATGAAAAAATAAACAAGCTAGACGATGATATGAGAGACTTAATAATTGAAAAATTAATGTACAAGATTTGAGAGACAACCTGTGTATACATAATTAAAGTAAGACAAGAAAGACAGAGAAAGCAATTCTAATTCGAATGTAAGGCTGAGAGTATGAAGCAGAAAATTTGTAAGTAATAAGTGAGAAATTTAATTATGTAAAAATTTATATGAAAACAAATTTAAGGTAATAAATTACTTATTTTATAGGTGAATTGACCATTCTAAATTTTTTGATTACAAATCCGTTATTGGTAAAAAAATTTTGTCAATAGAAATTAAAAAAAATGCTTCAAAAAGGAATGTGCCTCTAATAATGCTCAGTACATCATATTCAGCTATTATTAGACGATTGCATATCAAACAAAATGTAACTGTAAAAAAAGCTACCAATTTTATTAATACGATAATATCTTAACACCTTTAATAAGAACTGTAAAGCAAATATTCCTGCACTATGCTAACAAATCACAGTAAAACATTAATCAATTAAATACAATTTAATATAATAAAGATCCAATTTAGTAACAAAATTTAAAAAAAAAAATCTAAATGAGCTTTTTAATGTTTATATTTATCTACATATTTCATTTCGTAAACATTAATTTTTATTTTTTGAATATATAATTTTTTGAAAATTTATGTTACCATAAAAAAGTCTCCGATAATACAATAAATAGCAATTCTCAACAAAGTTTAACGAAT